TGCTTTTACTTTTCTTTATGTAAAGCACTTTGAATCACCACTGAGTGTGAAAATGCAATACAAATAAACCTGCCCTGCCAAATGCTCAGCTATATTGTAAATGAAGGTCACCCTCAGTGTACTCTGAGTTTAAATAAAGAGATTAATATTTTTAATTGATGTATTTTTTACTTTGTTTGTTGAACTTTTACTCCGAGTACCTTGGTAAATTTTCCAGTTATCTGCCAAACTCGTCACCTTACTAGTTAAACTATACATCTACATATATATGTCTTCTTCCATAGTGTTTTGCATAACTATCAGAGAGGAGGTGCACTAAGTCACCACCAGGGGGAGGCGTCTGTAAACGCATGCATCCAGGAGGAAGTGGCGGTGCCTTGCTTCTGAAGCGGTTTGCGTTGCGATCTCGGTTCCCTGACGAATCATTGAAAGAACTTCAGCTATAGAGCCGTATCTGTGTAAGAGCTTGAATGTTAGTGTTCAGCTTATTGTTGCTTTGTTGCTTTACCTGTTGAGATTTTCATAAAGATAGTTTACAGTGTGTTGATAAAGGACTTTAATGAAGTGTACTGTAAACACTGAGCTAATGTAGCTGCTCAGATGCGTAACTCTCGTATACAGTCGCTCTATTGGGGAGAGAGGGTTATTCATGTTTGCCTATGTTTTATCCCGGATTGCTTTAGTTAGGAATTAAAGTTAGTGATTTTATTTGCTTTTCTTTTCTTATGTAAGCTAGCTACTGCACAGCTTTATTTAAATTCACTGGGTTAATAGGTTATGTGTTACAACTTGGCTATGTTGTATTGTGTACCAGTGTGTTTTAAGTGCTCACCATCATCATGTTAGGTTTGCCTTTTGATTGACCTGTCCCTCATTTTTCTCATGCGTTCAGTTCCCTTTGCCTCTAAATGTAAGTTTAGTGTTGTTCTGTTTGTTATTTTCTTCTTTCCTCCCCTGCTGTTCCATTTCTCCTGCTCTTCTAAAGACTTTATCCTGCTTGAGACTACTTGTATGTTGTGTAAGTTGGGGAACTGGGAGGGCATGGATGCCTCTGTTTTTATGTAGAGGCCTGACCTAGACCGGGTCGTGGTTTCAGGCCTTTTGCTTAATACAACTATTATATTAGGTGAGGCTACAAGTATATGTGCATTAAGGAGCTCCTGCTGGTGTGGGTTTAGTTTCCTTTCTTCTAATGATGCACACAAAAACTATTTGAGTGCGAATAGCTCCCCCTTGTGGAGAATCTTCAGCTTGCTAGATGTAAGTGAGTGAAAGAGCTACAGGCCACATCCACAGGGGCTTTGCATCTAAAATCTCTGAAATTCTTAAAGATTAACATTCTTTCTATTGTGTATGTACAACTTTTTTATTTTGTCAGAATATCTGTTTTCTAATAAATTTGTCTGTCACTCCAGAGACACACACTAATGTTTTGGAGCTGCTGCTGACCACTTTTCCAGTTGAATATAGTTGCTGACCCTACATGTCCAAATGGCCACTCCAACATGGCATCTTGGTAAACGCCATTGATGCTTTACTGGAGTCCTCCAGTGTTGACTTGCTTAATTTGGTGAATGTCTTGCTGTAGATGCCAGTAATTCTGGGATGAGAGCTGTTCTAGTTCAGGCAGGGTCAGATAGAATTGAACACTCAGTGTGTTTAATCAACATCAGCTGGTCATCAGTGGAGAAGGAAACATTTGCTCTGATCCTGTCTACACAACATTTTGAGGACTATTTGAGTTTCTGTTGGTTCAGACAATGTCTACACAGATCATAATCATCTGGTGTTTGTAGAGTGCATGAAGAACAGGAATCAGTAAGGTACTGGAGTTTACTTTACCTAGAGACTAGACACGTCTGAGTCTGGGTTACATGTTCATCTAAACCATGTTCTCAGTGTCTCTTTATTCAGGGTGTTGCACATGGAGGAACCAGAGAGACAGAGATGGGCTTACAGGCTTTAAGCTTCCTGAAGTTCAAATCTGTGTGTGATGTGTCAAAACCAATATGCTGAAATGAAAAAGCTCTGTAATAAAGATTCCTGAAGAAAGTAACAAAAAAGGTTTCATCAATAAATTCTTATTCCTGCCTCCCCTCCCTCTTTTTGGACCTTGCAATGTATTGCATTCTAGTTATGCTAAAGCTGTTAATATTGTACTTTAAATACACCAATAAACAGCATTAAAATCATTATTAAATTACAGTTTTTACACAGAATGTAAACATATAGAATTCTGGGTTATATTTTGGTTGTTAACTTTTAAGATACCAACATGCAGGGTGTCCTAAAAAATATCTGAGTAACTACATGTCAGAGGCAAATGAAATTAAATAGGCTTCATGTTGAATAGAACAAGATTTGTTTATCAAAATTCAAACAAGAAATTCAGAGGGATGTAGATTTTATAACTGATTTCACAGCTTCACAAATGTTCAATATGCGCACCGCAGGTGACACAACACACGTCAAGTTGGTAGTCCAGCTCCTGCACAGTCTTCCTCTTTTTTTTTTGTGCCATGTCCAAATCTGAATTTTCTCTCTGCACTCTCTTGTTTGACTGTGTTTGAGCCTATTCTAACACACAGAATGCCTTTTCATTTCTAGTGAACGCCGTTCTTCAACCTGAGAAAAAAAAAAATTAAAAATTAAACTTGGCTAGTTTTTATACATTTTGTTAAGATTTGAGATCATTTGAGGGAGAGGTGGCTACGTTATTAGACTATGAAATGATGTCAATTGTTTGGGACACCCTGTATTTTGAAAACAGCATTACACCCTTAACGTCAGTCTGTCAACAGATTTTTTGTTGTGAAGGTGCTCAAACTAGATGACACGGCAAAAAGAGGGTATCACACACTTAACGAGTTTCAGCTACAAAAAAGCTCTCAAAACCCCAAATCTCCCCTGATATAACATCATAGAAACAATGCTAACCTGGACCTGTTTGTACTTCTATACACACAAGAAAAGAAAATGCTGAGGGTGAATATGCTGGTGAGAAACGCAGATATGACCGTGAGAGCTGGAGAAATCTTTCACTACAAACTAAACAGCTGAGCTGAAACTGTAAAGACAGTGTTCTGACATCTGGGTCCAAACATTATAAACATTATTAAGGCTCATTATTAGCATGTCTTCAGTGAGCAGCTCCTCTGTGTCCTTGATCAACTGCACACACAGCAAACCTTTTCTCTTCACCTATTTTCTCTATCCTAGCTCCCTGAATGTGTGTTGCCTGTGTCACCATTCTGTTACGTCACTGATTATCTCACACTACAGGACATTTTCAGTCATAAAAACAGAAAATGAAAGTATCAGAAGGCCCTTGATTAGATCTAGGATTTGTGTAAAGAGCAGTCTTTGTTTAACTGCACTGCATGAATTAAAGTCTTCTTTTGTTCCTGTTCCGTCTGCAGACACTGTTTACCCGCTCTAACAGGACTTTCCTGGTCAAACAAAGCCGATGAGTAGCTTGATTGCTTTAGGATGCTACGTTTTATGTTCTTGTACCATTCTTTTACTGCATTTACATTACATTATTAATAATAAAACTGCTGTCACCTTGGCGTGACCCATCACAGCTGTGGTTTATGAGCACTCCTCTGTCAGTTAGGCTCTTCTTAAATGTGTTAAAATCCTATAACAAGCTTAGATTAATAATAAGTAATTATGAAATTCATTTACATTATGTCGTGCAGTGGGGGTCACACGCAACTTTAGTTTCAATACAGGATGGACACTGCGTTTCCATCCATCCAAATGGACCCATACTAGACAGATAAGCCCCAACAGACATATGACACGGTTGTCATATGACCATATGTGAGAAAAAAAAACTCTGTGTAAACTCTGATCTTCATCATTACTTCTTTTTTCATGTTTTGGGGGGTCCTAACATAGTGTTAGGAGTCTTGCCCAAGGACTCTTATTGGTATAGTGTAGCGTGCTCATCCAGGTAGGGATTGAACCCCGGTCTACAGCGTGTAAGGCAAAGGCGCTACCTACTACACTACACCGACCACAAAGACATTCTGAAATTCAGGTTAAAATTTCAGGGATTTACCTATCACTCAGGTTGTTGTGATGATAATATAATTTGTTATGTAAAATTCTGTTAAATTAGAATAAATGCAAAATAGAATTTCACCGGTAGTCTCAAACTTTTGGACCCCACTGTATAAGAGATGCAGCTGTGTGAAGGGTTCCTGTCCTCTTTTTGTCCTTATGGAGGAGCAACACTGGAAAGTTTGGGTGGAAATGGTGAATGTGACAATATATTTTAAAAGGCAGTGTTAGAGAGCAGACATACAGATAGACCGTGATTCTATTTAAAGCCATTGTAAAATGTACACACATTTGACTGCACATAAACTGAGTTCTGTATTAATGCAGCAAATTATTAAAACCATTGTGCTGTTAATGGAATGATCCTTGATCCCTGTTTCTGCATTTATAGATGGAAAATTTCTGTATTGAGTTTATTATTAATACGAAACACCTCTTAAGTTAAACACACCTTAACTGTGGTAAAAGTATTGTAACACCTCTTATTTCTTACTGCTTTAAACCCAAAGAAAAAGCATCTATTTCTGCCATTTAACCCACTTTTCCCCTAAAATAAGGGCAATTATATTCAAGCTGAGGTGTAAAGAACATGACTGAATAAAGCTGAAAATTCTTGTATTTTTATTTTGTTTTCCACAACCATTTCAAACAAACATATATATATATATGAGTATACTCATTCTCATTCCTCTGATGATACAGATCAACATTTCTGTAGTGATGTGAATTGTGTTCAGAATATATGGCAGTGCATCTAACATTAAAGGCAGCATGGAGCCAAAGAGACAAGCACAAACACCATGATGGATCACTGACGAGATGATGAGTTTGATGTGGTTAATCCACAGTGTTTGGTTTAACCTGAGCTCCTCCCAGAGTGAGGATATAAAAGTATATATAAGAGTGGACACTCTCAGAAGAGAAGACTAAACTGCTCCTCTGGTTCTCTCTGAAGATGAAGCTGTTTGTTTCAGTGCTGATGCTCCTCGCTGTGGGAGCCGTGGGGGAGGTGGTGAAGGACTTTAAAGAACCTCCTTGTGAAAATTTCTTTCTGGATGGTGGGCCACCAGAGTTTAAGACTAACGGAATAGCCTCGCAGGTTCCGGTGGAGGGTCGCTATGTGCGGATCTGTCAGAGATACAGAAATAAGTATCATTATGCGACTCTGTATGACACCACAGAAAAGATTCCTGTGTATTCTGCATATCGGTATGAACGAACAGCAGACTGTAAAGTAGATAGACCTGATATAACATGGATGATCGAACCTCAGGTAAGAAATGACAGATTATAACATTAGCATACTTTGTTACCCTGTTCTTCAGTGGTCAGGACCCCCATGGACCCTCACAGAGCAGGTACTATTTGGGTGGTGGATCATTCTCAGCACTGCAGTAACACTGACGTGGTGGTGGTGTGTTAGTGTGTGTTGCGCTGGTCTGAGTGGATCAGACACAGCAGTGCTGCTGGAGTTTTTAAACACCTCAGTGTCACTGCTGGACTGAGAATAGTCCACCAACCAAACACATCCAGCTAACAGTGTCCTGTGGGCAGCGTCCTGTGAGCACTGATGTTTTATCTGTTTACTTGTAGTTGCTCGTTAGCTTACACTCCCCTCCGACTGTAAAGGTGGATCATCTCAGTGTAAAAGGGGGGCTTCGAATCTGCAGCAGCTGATATGCTTGCATTAACACTATGTGGATATTTGTGTATGCAGAACTGGCTTCTTTAAGGACTCATATCTGTCGGTAATTCTCGACTCAGCACTCCAGATAAATACAGATAATCGTAACTATTATTACTGTCCTCATCCACCTAAAATTAATCCACCTTAATGAGCCGGCTTTATACACGCACAAAGGATAAAAACTACGTATAATTTTGTACAAAATCACTCAGAAAAAAGGCACTTAATATGTTAAGCTGACTAATATGCATTTTATTTTATGCACTCTCATCTGATTTATGAGCTCCGAGTCTGAAATTTAGCCGTCAACATTCACCAAACACTGCTGTGACTGTGATAAACACAACAATTCAAGACAAGCAGAGCAGGCAGAAAAAAAAACATTTGAGGGATTTATTCTTAAAAACATTTTATTTCAGTGTTAACTGTCAAACTTTCTCTGAATGCTGTTACAGCTTGAGGACATCAAGAATAGTAAGGAGATGGCCTTGCAAAGGAACATGAAAGTCAATAATCAGGCCTACAACTCACAGTATGACAACTCCAGGTATGATAAAGGTCACCTGTTTCCTTTCTGCCACACTAACTCTGATGAAGCTGCAGAGAGCACCTTCACCCTCACCAACGCAGCACCTCAGAGATGTGACTTCAACAAGATGTGGTACAGCAAAGTGGAACGCAGAGTGAGAGAAGCCCTGAAGCAGTGCCTGAACGTGGGAAAAAAAGCTTACGTAGTAACAGGAGTTGTGCCGAGTAGTGGATCAGAATATCAGACTCTGAAGGTGGGCAGCACAGTGAATGTGCCAAGTTTCTTCTGGACTGCATACCGCTGTTGTGATAATAATAATAAAAATTGTGATTTTGGTGGCTTCATTATGCATAAAGAAGCTGATGAAGCTACAGACTACAAAGACATTAATGAACTTCATTTTAAACTGAGTGCATTATACACCAAACCATTTAAATTGTATAAAGATGCAGCTTTCAATTTAAAACGACCACGAGAGTGAAGAAAAAAACTTAAAATGAATCCTGTCAACAATCATTAGATTCAACTTCAGCAGCATCAGCAGTGAAGGATATTTTGTTTTTAGTAAATGATTCTGTATAAGCTGTTAAATGGGATTTATGTATGTGGTGTGTGGATAATGAAATGAAATGTTACGGTCTGACTGGTAAAGGGTTGAACACGTATTAATGTATTTACTGTCTGTATGAATTATAATACTGACCATAAACACTAAAGCTGCAGTAAACTCAACTGAGTCTTCATTTAAAACGCATTCATTCCAATTAAGATCAGAATTACTGTAATATGTGTACAATATTTGTATTTTCACACTAATTACTCACAGTGCAGTGGAAACACATTGTACTGGACACATGTAGGGTCAGTGAACACCCAGGGATCAGCGATGTATATGGAATACACCTTTTAAAGGTGCAGTGTGTGGCTATTAAAAATGCCTCTAAACATGATACAAAAATGATACAAAGATGATCTCACATTTCTGTCTGTATGGGCAGCCACAGTGCTGTGAAAAAGTATTTGCCCCTTACCCGATTTCTTCGATTTTTCTCAATTGTCACATTTGAAAAAGCGATTGCCCCTCTAACCCTAATAACTGGTTGTGCCACCCTCAGCATTAACAACTGCAGTGAAATGTTTGCGATAACTCATGATGAGTCTTTTATATCACTGTGGAGGAATTCTGGCCCACTCTGCTTTACAGAATTGTTTTAATTTGGCTACACTGGAGGATTTTCAAGCATGAACTGTCCGTTTAAGGTTTTGCAAGAGCATCTCAAAGGGGTTCAAACTCAGGACTTTGACTGGGTCACTACAAAAACTTAATTTTGTTTCTTTTGAGCCATTCAGAGGTGGACTTCCTTGTGTGTTTCTGATCATCGTCCTGCTGCATAAGCCAACTGAGCTTGAGCTCTGGGTCCCGAAATGATGGGTGGACATTCAGAAAATCCTCAAGGAGAAATGTCCACCCATCATGACCTAAATCTGGGGCAAAGCAACCCCAGACCATCACACTACCACTACTATGTTTGACTGTTGGTATGATGTTCTTATAGTGGAATGCGGTGTGAGCTTTACATCAGATGCAATGGAACCCACGTCTTCCAAAAAGTTCTACCTTTGACCTAACAGTCCACAGAATATTATCCCAAAGTCTTGGGGGTCATCTTGATGTTTCTTGGCAAATACGAGACAAGCCTTTGTATTCCTTCCTGTACACTGACCTGAACTGAGACAAGTGAGGCCTGCAGTACTTCCGATGTCGTCTGGGTTCTTTTGTGACCTCCTGAAGGTGTCAGTGATGCACTCTTGGTGAAATTTTGGTAGGTCAGCCAATAATGGAAAGATTCTCCACCGTTCCAAGTTTTCTCCATTTATGGATAACACCTCTCACTGTTGTTCTGTGGAGTCCCAGAGCCTCAGCAATGACTTTGTAACCTCTTCCAGACTGGAAGATTCTGATGACTTTGTTTCACATCTGTATTTGAATCTCTTCAGAACGTGGTGTCATGTGCAGCTCTTTGAGACTATCTAACTGCTGCACACTGCCAGACAGGTTCTCGTTCAGTGATGTTTAGATTCAGCAGGTTTGACAGTAGTCATGTCTGGGTGTGGCAGGGAAAATTAACCCAACAGTCAATCAAATTTGGTTAACTGGCTGATTTAATAGCTAAGGGGCCTCTACCTTTTCACACAGGGCCAGGTAGGGCTGAACAGCATTTTCCCTCAGTAAATGAAATCTTTTTCTAATATTAAAAGCATACTGATGATCTGAAACATTCAAGTGTGACAAATATGCAAAAATAGAGGAAATTTGGAAGGGGCAAATACTTTTTCACAGCACTGTATTTGACAAATGACTTAAACAAGGTCATCTATAAAAAATGAAATACCTATATATTAAAATGGACAAAACTATAGAAGCCTTAACTGCATCCGTACTTCAGTTCATGTTTAGTTCATTTAGTTCTTTCAAACCACATATTCAAGTTTATTAGAGATTACTGAACAACCCCAGAGTTGTTATGTCATGATGTTAATTGGCAGAGTATAAGTTTCCATTGCTTGTATTAGCCTCATATCTCCAGCGCTAAAACTGAAGCAAACTCCAGACACTGAACAAGTCTTGGCTGATCAACTAGGATAAAGGTGGGGAAAATGGGGGAGGTTTGAAAAACTATTGCCTTAACTTTGTCTAGTGTTGTAATCAAGACCGCTAGAGCCGAGCCTGAGTCAAGAACGAAATTGGGACACTTCCAGTCCAAGACAAGCCCAAGACTTTTAGTAGTCAAGTCCAAGTCAAGACAAAAACCAGGAAGAATTTTTTTAGAATAAAAAATAAACAAATGAAACTCATTTGTAGATAATTGTACATTAAATATCATAAATTATACATTATATATACCAATACACAATATTACATTAATAATCTATTTTGTAAAATATATTATTATATAATATATGTAGCCTAAAACATTATTATTTTATTATTATTATTATTATTATTATTATTATTATTATTATTATTATTATAGTCTTCATCAAATTTTGCATTGTAAGGTTGCAGCAATGAGATTATTCTCTGTTCTTCCTTCTCTAAAACTTATTCAGAATCATCATCTAGAGTCAAACAAACATAAACTACATCCATTTTTATCATAAAATGAAAACATAGTAATAATAATATTCTGTAATTATGACTGTTGTGTTGTAAGTTAATATTACATTGACACATAAAACAACAAAAAATGCTAATACAACTGAAAGCAGCCAAAGATCAATTACAATTAATTATATCAACAGGGTTGCATGTTCTCCCTGTGGGTTTCCTCCGGGTTCTCCAGTTTCCTCCCGCAGTCCAAAGACATGCAGTCAGACCAACTGGACACCCTAAATTACCCATCGGTGTAAGTGTGTGTGTGAATGTATATGTCTGTTTGGCTGCCCTCTGATGGACTGCCGGCCTGCCCAGGGTGTATCCTGCCTTCCGCCCAATGACTGCTGGAATACGTTCCAGCTCCCCTGGAAGGATGACCGGCTTAGAAAATGTGCCTGTGTGATATCAACAGATTTGTAAACAGTGCAATAAGCAGTGAATTTCAGCTCTCAGTAACATTATTATTCTTTTAATGCTGGTATTATTTTCTGATAAGAAGTTCCACCTTAATAGTGTCTGAATGTCTCAGTGGCCTGAGGAACCAGAATGTAACTGCTGCAGCACTTAAGGTGGAAATTTGAAAAAAGGTGGAAAATTTGAACAAGAAGCTGGAGAATAAGAAGCTTTGTGTGATTTAGGCTAATAAAATATCCTACCTACAGCTTTCAGGGTCATTTGTTTTCCAGCTCCGGCTGCTTCTGTATCAGCAACGCAGCCAAAAAGTGGCGCAGAGCAGAGAGTTCAGTTCACAGAGAAAAAAAAAAACTTTTATTGTGTTTATTCTGGTTTTATTAACATTCACTAATAGTTCCCTCAGACTGAGGCAGTGGACTCCTTGTATCAACACCAATTTCCGGGTCCACCATAAATCAACACTGAGATAAGACCAAGTTCCAGCGAGGTCGAGAAAGTGTTTGGGAACTGAGGAGACACTGCTGTAGTTTTGAAAGTGAAATGTTTTCCATTCTGGTTTGATACAGGATTTCAGCTGATCATCAGTTCAGGGGCTCCTTTGTTGTATTTTTCATTTCATAATCAAATTTATTTATCAGTGGTGACAGGTCTGGACTGCAGACAGGTCAGTTTAGCCCCTGGACTCTTTTAATACGGAGCAATGCTGCTGTAATACATGCAGAATGTGGTTTTACATTGTCTTGTTGAAATAATCAAGGCCTTCCCTGAAAAAGACGTCATCTGATGTCAGCCAATGTCCAGACCCCAACTCCTTGCAGTTGGACAACCGGTATTAGCCAAAAAGCGAACCAGACTCATTAGAAATCTTTAAAGAAAAAATTTGTGATTGCCAATACCTTGGTCACCGGTCCCAAAGCACACAATAATGGCACTAGAGGACAGAGTAGATGTGGATAAAGGTAACAATAAACAAAGAATAAAAGCGTGTATACTATACTTGGGAAAACACTGAGTGAGAGATAAATGCAACTTACATAATTGAGTAACTGATGGTTAATAAGGATAAATAGTTAAAATCACCACAAACAGTTGTAACCAAAACGATGCATGATCTTCCTCTTTACATCACGTAGAGAGGCTGATGTAAGCCAAAGAGAGGTCACAAGTATGTCATTTGGCTCAATCTGACGTCTATAGTCATGGGTGCGATAAGGAAATTTGAACGGATGTTGTCGTTGTCTGCAGGATTTTCAACCTGCAGTACTGGATAATGTCCCAACATATTAAACACAATTTTCCCAATCATATTGCGTACCAATGGTATAACACAACATCGCAAAACAACCAAAATCATAAAAAAAAATCAATAAAGTGACCTAGCAATTCTAAAGCCTTAATGGTGTAATTCATGAATCTTTGTTGACTATACCAAATATAATTTATCCACTTTGCATTTCTAGCTGTTTGGATGCTCGGCAGAAAAACAAACAAACCTCCCAGGCTTACATCTGTCATCGCTTCATATTCCAGGCGGGACATTAACAGGAACACCTGCCCAGTTTAATGTTGGTTTCTCCGCTTCCCAAGTAATATCTCTTTTCTGCCTCATGGTTATTTGATCCCATCCAAACAAAAGAACATTTCCACTAAGTGTAACAAGAGCACAACAGCCTACCCAATTATCTGGTAAGGCTTGTAGCAGCTCTGTTCCTTCTTTACAAATCCAAAATATGTCCACTACAGGATTTGAGCCTTCAGTAAAATCTATGTCAAAGGTGACATTTCCCGTAGTACTTATCTGAATGGTAGCATTTAACACTTGATCACATCTGGTTATAATACTATTAGCCTCAATGGCATCTCCTTGACAAAAACAAAATGGGTATTGTACTCCTCTTACCGTCATTTTTATAGGGACTTTACATTGATCAGTTTTTGGAATCCCCTACTCCTCTCATTTTCCTTTTAATGTCTTTTAGAAAGACTTTAGTACCAATGCTCCTATACGTGACATAAGATTCTCCTGCTGGTAATGAATAATTATATTTAAGGAGCAACAAAAGAGATAACACACACTGTAGCCCTTTGTTCTTTCTACTGGGTGTCACACAGGGCCCTACACAG